GGCTCCGGGGAGGACTGCGTGGTCCTGCTGATTGACGGGCTCTGGAACGACATCTCCTGCACTTCCTCCTTCCTGGCCGTCTGCGAGTTCTCTGCCTAGAGAGGGTTGCTCCTCGGGACCGCGGCTGCCATAAAACGATCCCTGCTGCTTCCCACACTGTGTTTCATTCCTTCATGGGGTGGGCCTGTGGGATGAAGAAGTGACAAAGGGCGTGGCGGGTATGAGGACTCTGGTCCAGGTCATCCTCACCCTGCCAAGACACAGCACTCAGTCAGGTGAGGCCGCATTAAGTCGCCCTTTCTCAGGCGCACTGCAGCCTGCTGCGGGGCTGTGAGAAGTCACACCGTCAGGGAGGGCACAGATGGCAGCTGTCAGATCTGAGCCCTTCTCCTGGAGCTGCCACTTCTCTGTCAGCTTCTCCTGCCCCCAGCTCCTTCCCATTGCTGCCCTGTTGACATGGGTGTGCTTTCTAGTTGCCCACAAGCCCCACCAGAAGACGGTCTACCACCTAATGGGGATCGTGGATGTGGGTAGCGAGGACGGCTCCGGGACCCCCTGACCTGCCTGCGAGCTGTGGCCCCTTAGTCACCAGGGCAACCTCAAGGGGAGAGCACCCGCCCTCCTTCCTGATAACCTGAGGAGCTGAGCCAACGCTGCATGGGCCACAGCACAGAGGGTGGACGGCTGTGCAGGGCTCTAGGCCTCGCCAGCCTCAGTCCCCGCCTAGCACCCCTCCCTTCATAGTGGGATCTTCATCCCATCGCAGTCCCGTCACCTGCACTGACAGGAGAGAAAACACCCTGAGGCAAGCTCCATGCCCGGGGTCAAATCACACAGCATGGCCAGTCAGCACACGAGGTCTCCCTCTGAGCAGAGTCCAGTGCCCCTCGGCCCCTGGTTCTGCCCTGGGCCACAGATGTTTTCCAGCTGTCAGGGTGGCTGGCTCTGAAACACGTAGGGGCTGTGCAGCAACGTTTCACAAGGGCCCAGCAGGTGGTGCAGTGTTTGAGATGCTGAACTCCCATACGGTCGTCAGTGGTTTGAGTCGTAGAGGTTTGAGTCGTAGACCCGGTGGCTCGAAAATCACACCAGACATGTGTGTGTGCATGCCCAAAATCCCAGGAGGAGGCTGGAGGAAAAGGGATGGTGGCATGGCCACCCCCTGGGGGATGACTTTTTACTTCTCTTCTCATTGTCTCTGGCAAGTGCACGTGCCCTCTCGGGGGAAATTAAAAAAAAGAAAGGAAAAGAAGAGAATATCTCACGAACAGGCCAAAGGCTGCTTTAGCTTAGTGGGAAGCTTTTGTTAAGCCTAGTTTTCCATTTAGTTTCTTTTTGTGTCTGAGCTAGCAGGAAGTCCCCTAGAGTTAATAAGTGCTCCTCAAATCCACAATGGAGGGTTAGCAGGTGGCACATGAGGAATGCGCTGGATACGAGAAGTGCACACGGGGCAGGGCTCCCCCACTCCCCTTCTGCCACACTAGCAGGGCAGGGTGGAGCTGTCTGGATGTCCTGAGGCCTTGGGCCAGCAGATGAGGGGGCAGGGCTGCATGCCTCTCCTGTCACAGCACAGGGTTCTCAGTTCTTGCAAAGACACCACCCAGCAGTTTGTAATTAGAGGTGCTGTCTGTCTCCATCGCAGAGGGCCCACAGGCTGGGAGCACCATTTCCGGACTGTCCCCTGCCCTGAGCTCCTCCCCTTCCCAGCAGCCCGTCTGCCACTCAGGGTCACCAGGGCAACATCACTTTACAAAATCAATTTCCCACCATTTGACCAGCAGCACTCATTCCTGGGGAATGTGGAGATTATCTTGTGCTGGATTCCCACATGCAGTTTGAACCTCACACTGGACACATGTGCATGTGTGCCCAAGATCCCAGGAGGAGACTGGAGGAGAGGGATTGCTGTGTGCTCATACCTGCCCCAAGGGGGTGATTTCTCACTGTCCCTCTCACTGTCTCTCTCTGGCAAGCACACATGCCCTATGACAAAAAAAGGAAAACAAATGTATTCTCCTGTCACCATTCTTCCTTCAATTATAATTGGAACAAACTACTGCCATGTTCATGTCCCAGTTCTTGTTAGCAAAAAGCAGGAGCCTCATTTGGGACAGCTCGGGAGATGACAAAGTTAATCTAAAGAGATAGCGTTCTCATGAGACAGTAGCTCGTCAGCCTCTCAGAAGAGATAAATGGGAAGAAATGGTTTCAAGATGACCCTACGAACAGGCCCCCGCTCCCCCTCTGGCTGAGGGCAAGCAGTTTCCTTTTCCAAAGGACGTTTGATAATTGCTATCTCTTACACAGGGGACCCAAGGCCAGGCACTCCAGGGACATATCTCAGGGGCCCCAGGTAGCACATCCCTCTGAGACAGGCCTTGCTGCTTCTCGTGGAGTGGCTCCCCCAGCCGTTCTCTCCCATGCTGGGCTTTGGGCCAGGGCCTGGTTGACACCTCTGAGCTGCAGTCTCCCTCTGCTGCCCCTTGTAAAAGGGTAGGGACTGAAGGCGTGGCTTATAGCACACTCCTGGAAAAGACCCGTGAGCCTGTACCTCTGTGCAGCTTGGGATGTGGCCTTGGCCAATGGAGAAGCCTAGGTCTCCATGTGCCAGGCTGGGGCTGAAGGAGAGGGGCTTGGTGGGTGGTGGGATGTTCAGGAGGCAGGATGAGCAGGAGGCAGTCGTTTGAAGTTAGCTCCTCGACTGGCGCCGTGTGACATGTCAGCCCGACGAGCCTCAGTTTCTCTGTCTGTCATGGGTCTCTGAAGCTGAGTGAGTCATGACCACACACAGATCTGGACTGTGGACCCATTTCAGAAGGGCACTGTGTGGCTTCTGCTGCCCCTCACCATCAGAGTGACCCTAGAGCCAGGAGCAAAGCTGCAGGGTCTGAGAACTGGTTTCAGTTTTGCCGCCTCTCAGTTCCGCCCGAACTAGCTGTGGTTACACTCTTACTATTTCTGAATTCTATAGGCAGCCAGCCCGGATGGGTTGGAATGGCAAATGCACCTTAACTTTGAGAGGGGACTTTGGGTTAAATTATTGCTGTGAGCCCATGTTCTCCTGCAGAGACACAGACACAGCCAATGTGATCAGTCTGCTTCCTGTGTCACAATGAAAACAGCCACCAAAGCTTGCGACAGTCCAGGCCCAGTCTGGCCTGGGCTCTGGATTCCGGAACTTGGGGCCTTCTTCCTTTAGGACAATCTTTCTTTGGAGTCCTGAGGCTCTACTGCTGTCACTTTAGCCACATCCAAACTGGCAAATGGAACCAGCTTCAGGAACCAGCTGAGGTCTGACCTTCACATCTCTCAGGCCTTCCTGCCCGGCCTCTCCCGCCCCCTTCTCTGTGGTGCTGGAGATCGATCCACACCGGCTCACAGGCAGGCCCCTGGACTTGCCCCCTGCAGGCTTGTTCCTGGAAGATTGTTTTCTGGTTATTGTGTAACTGATCTGTGCTTCATAACCTGCCAGGGATCAGGGGTTTGTTTTCTCATTAACCAGAAGGTCGGACATCATCAGGAAGTGTGGACTGAAGATATTGGGAAGTTGACTTTGTAAAGCAATGTTGCCCTGGTGACCATGAGTGGCAGACGGGCTGCTGGGAAGGGGAGGAGCTCAGCAGGGCTCCATGTGGAAATGGTGCTCCCAGCCTGGTGGGGCTTCTGTGATAGAGACAGACAGCACCTCTAATTACGAGCTGCTGGCTTTCTTTCCATGCAAACCTGGGTGCCGTGCTTAAAGCGGTGGGTGTGAGCAGCCATTTGCTAACTGAACAAACGCCTTGGGCAAGGCTGGCTACTGCCTGCCCCTGGTCAGCCTGCTGTGTCCTGTCAAGTGACATGCTTGTGCCTCCTTATGTGGCTCTGCAGAGCCTGTTTCTTTGTCTTGAATTGGTCTCTGAAACCTCGGGGACCAGCAGAATGGACCACGGTGCTTCGCAAGATCATAGAATTCTCACTACCCCTCCCCGCCCTGACCAATGCATTGAACATCTCAGAACTCTGCCGTCTTAGGCAGGTCCACAGGTGACCTGGGTATTTGGCCAGTTTGGGGAGCTGCTGCCCCAGGCAACACGGTGGCCTCCCGCCTGCCTCTCGCCATCCAGGGATGCCAGCCTTTTTCTAGTTCTCATAGGCCCCTGTGGGAGTGAAGGAGTCTTGCTTCATTCATCAGTGTCAGACCCCAAATAATGTCGTGCACCTGACTGTGACCCCAGGCAGAGCCAGCTGCTGACCCTAACCCTTCCCATGCACGTCTAGGTTCCAACTGCCCCCGTGACTTCAGGGACCAGGTCTGGGGTTAGCACAGCTCAGAGGGTATCCGCATGGGGGACACTGCCAGATTCAGCCCGGAGTGGGCAACTGAGCACGTGGGCCTGGGCCGTGGGCGTGTCTGGTGCACGTGTGTGTGGAGCGTCTGCGTGGATGGACTGTATGGGCCCAGTGCTTGAGACTATCACCCCCCCGCGTGTCCCAGCCTCCCTGTCCCCTCTCAGAGGAGGGCTGACTCTCAGTTATGGCAGAAGCTCTCGATGAAGAGTGTGTGCTTGGTCATGGAGACGGTCCCTAAGCTTTGTTCCAGGACAGCCTGGACTCAGTGTGTCTGGGCACCAGCATGACTGCCCTGCCAGGTCTCTGGCCACAGGTCACCCCCCAGGCTTTACCTGACCACAGATGCTCTGGGTGCTCCAACCGCCAGTCCCTCTTACCACACCCGTCCCCGTTACCACGCCCGTCCCTCTTACCACACCCGTCCCCGTTACCACACCCGTCCCCGTTACCACACCCGTCCCCGTTACCACACCAGTCACTGTTACCACGCCCGTCCCTCTTACCACACCCGTCCCTCTTACCACACCCGTCCCCGTTACCACGCCAGTCACCGTTACCACGCCAGTCCCTGTTACCACACCAGTCACTGTTACCACGCCAGTCCCTGTTACTGCACCCATCCCTGTTATCACACCCGTCCCTGTTATCACACCTGTCTATTTTCTTCTCTGCAATTATAGTCGATTGACACCATCTTGGGATACCACACTCGTCCCTGTTACCACGCCAGTCCCTGTTACTGCACCCATCCCTGTTATCACACCCGTCCCTGTTATCACACCTGTCTATTTTCTTCTCTGCAATTATAGTCGATTGACACCA